ATAAAACAAAAAGAAAAAATGTACCCAAAAACGCACGTTCTCAAAAAAAAAATAATTTTTTTTTATTTTTATATATATTAAACCGCGATATCTATTTAGCTCTCTCAGACTCATTTAGAGGACGATCGATCGCGAGGATAGAAAGAGGGAGTATTTTGAGCACCCCTGATCCTGCGCGCGTCGATTTTCTTCAGGACATTCTAAGGATCGAAGACCAACACTCCTATAGATTGTTATTATTATTATCATTATTATTGTTATTATTCGTGCTTCCAACGACCATATCTTCCTAACGATATAAATTTCCGTAATTTGTATTTGAGAACGTGGGTTTATAAATCATATATAGAGACAGAGAAAAAAAAGCAAACAAAAAAAAAGATAAATTAAGGAATTAATTAATAAAACAATAATAATTAGTTTAATGCCTAGTGAAATTGCCAATAAAGTAGTTATAAATTTAGTAGCTAACTCTTCTGTGTATCATATCCCTGTATCATCTTTACATATATCCTTAATACATTTTATGCCTTCTTAAATAATTTTTATAAATTATTTATTATGAATTATCATTCTCGTATTAGTAAAGTATTTTAGATTTAATTATAGTATTTATATTAATATATTTTGATATATATATATATAATTTGTTTTTTTAGAAGCGAGTATTGTTTTCTAACAAATAATTATTAGATTGTGTTTATTTCTGGGTGCTGTTTTGCGAAATTGGCCTGTGTGTTAATTACCAATGCCAAAGTAGAGAGTATTAACCGGTTTGTTATTTTAAGTGTCAATCTATGTCTTTTCGTAGAGCTGGAACAGTAGATCCTCTTTAAAAAGTCGGATTTCCGGGGAAAATTATAATTTTCCCGGGTTTTAAAGGAAATATTCGACGGGTGAGCTTAAGATTTGTTCCGACTAATTCAAGTCGGAATTTTTCAATCGCTTCGCTGAAGTTTTAATTAAATCCATGTTACTAATAAATATCCAAAAGAAAACAGCTGACAGCATATAAGGGAGCACGTGTGTTAACGTAAGCCGTGAATTCCTTTATCATTCCGTAGAATTGGTAATTCTTCTTTGAGTCGGTAACTTATTTATCTTGGAGCTACAGAGGTAATTAGTTTCAAATGATCGAGTTAATAAGATTGTAGGGATGCCCGATGTTGGTAAAAAACATCCACGCCGGACTATCGATTGTGTTTAATTTATTGGGATCGGAGCATCGATCATTTATTTAAAAACATCCGACACATTGGTTGTTAATATTGATGGTAAGAACAAGCGTTTAAATTTGAATAAATTATAGCTAACGATCTAAAAAGATAAATCCAAATTAGAGGTCTTAATTTTGAATTATTATTCTTTTAAATAAATTATATCTTGGACATTGAAATTTGTTTTTTTTGTCAATAGATAAATTACTGGTATTAAAATATTTAAGCAAAATTTTTTATCTCTAGAGTTATTTATTTGTCAAAAAATTCACGCTCTTACTATTTGGTAGTAGAAGAAAAATTTCCATTAAATTAATAACTAAAATAATATATCTGATGTGAATAGTTGCGTTGTGGTATCACTTATTCTCAACAGCGCAGTTCGATCAGGGTTCGAGCCCAGTCGTCGGGTTAAAGTTGCATTATTTTTTATTTGTAAGAAAATTAATATTCTCAAGCTAACATTAATATCTAAATTCTATTTATTCAATACCATTAATTAAAATAAAGTTTTTGTCGTTAAAAATTTTAAGGTAGTTTCTCGGTGAAACTTCTCGACAGATTTTGTTAATTTATT